CTCTCTCTCTCTTTTCCTCCATTGTTGACTTTGAGCTTTAAGCTTAGAGTAAGAGTGTTTAGAGTGAGATTTTTGCAAAAGTGTTGTAAATGAAAGTCGGAGAGCTCTACGTGATCTTCACAATGGTGTTCTAGGATTCATGATCGGGCTATGAGATAGGGACTTTCTTCATATTCTTAAATTAAAGCTATGTTACGGTTATTTTGAGAAAATATATCATTATAAGAGGTATTGCATATATTATATATATATTCAAATTTTTGTTTGGTAATTTTTGAAAGAAAAATTATGTTGAAATGTTAAGAATGTTGGCATTTTGAGGTTAATTTGAAAAAATCATTTTGTGTTGATGATTTTGTAAAATAAATCTGAAAATAAATTTAATAGTTGTTTGGATTGTCTCTACATCATATTATGATTAGATGATTTATTTTGAGAAATATAAAGTTGAATTTTTTTTTATCTTTGATTTGAAATTTATTTTTGAGAAAAATAAATTAATGTTGAGGAATATGAAGTAAATGCTTAAGTAGGAATTACAGAGTTACTTTGGGATTAAAACCTCTAAAGTGTTTATTTCATGATATTTTGTAAAAGATGATATGTTGTGATTAAATTGTGTTTATTTTTTTATGAAAATAAAAATGTGAAATGTGGACTTTCAAACTCATAACCTTGAAAGTTACTATTGGGCATATTTCATAATGTTGATGTAAATATCATGTTGGTTAAGTAATTTGAGAAAAAAGTTGTTGTAACGACGCCCGAAAAGAAATTGGGCAAAGTATATCTATTTATGCAACAAAACCCACCTGATAGACAAATACATATATATAACTACTACCCATAATCTACATACATCTATTTCCATTAAATCCCAAATGCCAAATACATGCTATTCACATCTCAATGCCCCATTTCCAATCCAAGCATACATTTTACAACAAGTTATGAAATGGAAGCCGAACAGATATAAGTGCTTTACAGGCTTAAAATCTATCCAAGAACATTCTTGGTTACACAGAATGGAGTTTTAACTCAACGCACATACATCCCTGGGCTTACATTCAACAAATAACAATAAAACAAAAATAAAGTCTCAGCTTCGAGTCCTCCCAAGTCAATGCCTTGGCGAAGGCATAGCACCTGTACCTGAAATGGTTTCCTTTATAGGGTGAGCCACAGCCCAGTAGAGAACCATGACAAGACTAAAGAGGAGTATGCTCATGCTATGCTTATGATAAAACAGTTTATCTTTCTTTTTACAAAGCATGCAATGTTGAGATGTAACAACAGATATAAAACCATTTCCATTTTAAACCATATCTGTTACATGAATATAGGCTCTGTGAATCTCTAGGTGAGTGTCTGCAAGTAGGGCCTAATGCACTACCACTGTCATTTTTTACTAGTAAACTGGAAGGCTCGACACCTAACCGCGCGGTTCCACACACCCTACCTAGATTCACCGAGTATTCATCTTTTCGCAAATAGATACATTTCCAAACATTTCTCAAAACAGATACATTTCCAATGAAATGAATGTTAAATAGATATCTCCAACTTCAAAATTATCTACACACAGCTCATCCTCATCACCACTATCATCTCCTACATTCAGAAATGGAGGGAACAGTCACCACTGCATCACCAAAAAGGCACATCTCTCTCTCTTTCTCTCCATCTCTCTCTCTCTCTCTCTCTCTCTCTCTCCATTTTATTGTATATGTTGAAAATTTTGAAGTTTGCATGAACCAACCTCTAAGCTCTAACACCTTAGTTTTGTTGTGTGTTTGTTAATTGATTTTCAGGATTGCAGTAGTAACTGGGGGCAACAAAGGAATTGGATTAGAGATATGCAGACAGTTGGCTTCCAATGAAGTCATGGTGATCTTAACAGCTAGAGATGAGAAGAGGGGTACTGAAGCTGTTGAAAATCTCAAAGCTTGTGGGCTATCGGATATTTTTTTTCATCAACTTGATGTTACAGACTCTGCTAGTATTGCTTCTTTAGCAGATTACATCAAAAATAAATTCGGAAAGCTCGACATAATGGTGAGATTGGAAGCAAACTAAATTGATTGAAACTAATTTTATCTATAGCTATCTAGTGGGTAATTGTTCACTAATATGTATGTACATAAATTCTTGGCAGGTGAACAATGCAGGGGTCAGCGGAGTCATAATGGATGCGGAGTCTTTTACTAGTTTAAAGCTGAAGTCTGGACAGGTAAGTCTTTTACCAGATTCTGGTGACTCTGTGTGTTAGCCAAGGGCTGTATGTGTGTGGGTTTGAATAACCGTTTTGTGTAACCAGGCTCAAGCCTTGGAAACTTGTAAAACCCTTGGGGGTATTTATTTGTTTATTTACTTGTTGTTGGATTAATGTATTGTTGCATGAAGAACTATTGTATCATGTAATGTAAGTTTGGAGATTTATATTCGGTTTTTCTTGAAAGAGCCATGATTGTTGTATTATCATTTGGGCTAAAAATTTGAGGTGTTACAATTTACGTATTTTTACTTGATTATATGGAGCTTAGAGTTGTATATAATTTAATTAGAATTTTTGAAAAACTTTTGATTTATTTGCTTAAAAGAGAAATTTTGAGAAAAATAAAAAGTTGATGCCCAAATTGTGAAGTGTAAACTTGGAATATGTTTGTAAGGTTATGAAAGAGCTATGTTTTAAATTTAAACAAAAACGGACATCGATTCGATCGATTTTGAAATTTTTACCGTTTTGCGACCAAAAGAGCATTTTTAAAGAAAATAAAGGAATTACGTTTAACTTTTGGGGCTTTTGATCAAAATAGGATGTCATAGTTAAATAATGCTTGGAGAATGAGTTTGGAAAGAAAATGATGTTTTCTTGGGCATTAACGGTATTATTTTGCTTAATATATCTGTTGGAATAAAACTGACACGATTAGAAATGGACCTTAAGAGGTTACCGGACGTGATTGTGATATGAAAACTAGTGTAGTTGTTCATATTTGATGAGATGTGGAATAGATTGTATTTATCAGAATTTTTGAAATTTAATTGTTTAAATATCTGTTTAGAAATATTTGTTTTGGGCTATCGGTGGAGGATAGCTATGATTGTTGTAGAATGTATGAGACTTAGGTAAATTAAACCACATTGACATTGCATTACATTTATTTCATTGGAAATGTATCTATTTTTGAGAAATGTTAGGAAATGTATCTATTTGCGAAAAAGATGAATACTCGGTGAATCTGGGTAGGGGGTGTGGAACCACGCGGTTAGGTGTCGAGCCTTCCAGTTTACTAGTAAAAATGACAGTGGTAGTGCATTAGGCCCTACTTGCAGACACTCACCTAGAGATTGGCAGAGCCTATATTCATGTAACAGATATGGTTTAAAATTGAAATGGTTTTATACCTGTTGTTGCATCTCAGCATTGCATGCTTTGTAAAAAGAAAGATAAACTATTTTATCATAAGCATAGCATGTGTATACTCCTCTTTAGTCTTGTCATGGTTCATATGCTGTGCAGTATATCTCTACTGGGCTGTGGCTCACCCTATAAAGGAAACCATTTCAGGTACAGGTGCTATGTCTTCGCCAAGGCATTGACTTGGGAGGACTCAAAGCTGAGACTTTATTTTTGTTTTATTGTTATTTGTTGAATGTAAGCACAGGGATGTATATGCGTTGAGTTGCAACTCCATTCTGTGTAACCAAGAATGTTCTTGGATAAATTTGTAAGCCTATAGGGCACTTATTATCTGCTCGGCTTCCATTTCATACTTGTTGTAAAATGTATGCTTGGGATTGGAATTGGGGCATTGAGATGTGAATAGCATGTATTTGGCATTTGGGATTTAATGGAAATGGATGTATGGGATAGTTAGTTATATATATGTACTTGTCTATCAGGTGGGTTTTGTTGCATAAATAGATATACCTTGCCCAATTTTCAGGGCGTTACAACAACTTTTTTCTCAAATTACTTAACCAACATGATATTTACATAAAAAATTATGAAATATACCCAATAGTAACATTTTCAAAGTTATGAGTTTGAAAGTCCACATTTCACATTTTTATTTTCATAAAAATGAACACAACTTAATCATCAACATATCATCTTTTACAAAATATCATGAATATTAGGGGTGGGCGCGGGTCGGTTGCGGCCACGGAACCTCCAATACGCCATCCGTCCGCCAGATTGGCGGATTGAAGAAAATCAATCCGCATCCGTCCGCCAATCCGGCGGATGTGGATTGAGCGGATTGGCGGGTTGGCGGATGGATGCGAATCGGTTTGGCGGTTTAAAATTTTATAAATTTTCAACATAATTCAACTTGTGCACTTCCTCAAACGAAAAAAGAAAAAAAAGAAAAAGAAAGTATTACAGTCAATGACTTAAAAAAATATTACAATCACTGTATGCCTTATCCAAAGAAAAAAAGTTTGAAACTTTAGAATATCATGATCACTGCATGCCTCATCCACATATTACAATCACAGTATGATTCATCCCCATAAAGTATTATAATCTGTGATTCTTAAAATATAATAACAATTCAAATCACCAAAACCATGAACAGAGCAGTAGTAGAGATTGAATGTCTCTGTATTGTTACATCTACATATGTTTTTGAAAACAAAAACCAACCAGCATATATCATATTTTCTATTTATTATTTTTAGAGTTACATTTAAAAACTAAAAAATATATATGAATAATACGTTTATTTTTTTCAATTCAAAAAATATATTTAAGTTGAAAACTTTTTTTCAACAGAATATTTAAACTCTTTTTCAATTGAAAACACAAATATAATATTTAAACAAATTAAAAATACAAAGTCTTATAAATTACTAGGGGTGCTCGCGATTTGGCGGTTTGGCGGTTCGGTTGCGGCCAAAAAATCTCAAATCCGCCATCTGTCCGCCAAATTGGCGGATTTGAGAAAATCAATCCGCAACCGTCCGCTCGTCATCACGCATCCGTCCAAAATGCGGTGGATCGGTTTGGTTCGGTCGGTTTTGGCGGATCGGTATATCCGTTGCTCACCCCTAATGAATATAACACTTTTAGAGTTTTTAATCCCAAAAGTAACTCTGTAATTCCTACTTAAGCATTTACTCCATATTCCTCAACATTAATTTATTTTTCTCAAAAATAAATTTCAAATCAAAGATAAAAAAAAATCCAACTTTATATTTCTCAAAATAAATCATCTAATCATAATATGATATAGAAACAATCCATACAACTATTAAATTTTATTTTCAGATTTATTTTACAAAATCATCAACACAAAATGATTTTTTCAAATTAACCTCAAAATGCCAACATTCTTAACATTTCAACATAATTTTTCTTCCAAAAATTACCAAACAAAAATATGAATATATATAATATATGCAATACCTCTTATAATGATATATTTTCGCAAAATAACCGTAACGTAGCTTTAATGTAAGAATATGAAAAAAGTCCTTACCTCAAATATGAAGAAAAGCAAATCTGAAAATGCAAACGTCACCCGATCATGAATCCGAGAACACCATTGTGAAGATCACGTAGAGCTCTCCAAGTTTCATTTACAACACTTTTACAAAATCTCACTCTAAACACTCTCACTCTAAGCTGAAAGCTTAAGTCAACAATGGAGAAAAGAGAGAGAGAGAGACAGACAGACACAGTGAAAAGGAGAGATAGGGAGCTGGGCTCTTTACTGAGGCAAAAGAAAAAGAAAAGCAAAAGAAGAAAGGAAGGAAGAGAGGCATGGGGGGACAACCCCATGTGGGTTTCGCCTCCCAATGGAAGCTCACCAACTAAACATCATACTAAATAATATAAAATATATAACTATTATACCTCCAAAATTTTGTAACATAAATTACAAAATAATATAATTTTTTTCTCACCACAAAATATAATATTTTTGTACACCACAAAATATAATATTTTACTCATTACGAAATATACACATTTTATTTACTACAAAAATATATAATTTTTCACCATATGGTACCCACCATAAAATCAACTAACAAATATTTATTATTATCCTATATAAAAAATAATAACAACTCCCAAGGTGGTTACTACCAATCACATAATAAAAAAGGACCAAACAGTTAAATATGAGTAATTAAAAAAACTCAAATTAAATTAAATCTAAATCATGGGTCTTGAATTAAATTTTCACCCATAAGCCAAACATCGCTCAATTACATATCAAAGTAAACCCAACAAATCTATCCAAATCATGATCTAAACATTAAAAATTAAATAACAAAATTCTGCAATAAATTAAACTAAATACCAATCAGTCCGTGAATTTTCATAAAATAAATACTCATCAGTTAATTCTAAAATTTTTATCCAATGTTCTAGACTCATATGGGAACAACATATAACAATTTCATAATTTTATGAGACCGGGAACTATTTTTAAAAAATACAAAACCAAACTGTTTTCGCACAAAATTTACACAACACTCAAATTCAAAAATTTACTCAATTAAATTATGCATTAGCTATTTAAAAAAAATAAAATTGGGTCACTACAATGTTTGATTGAAAATGAAGAACACATCAAAATTTATTGGATATTGGTTTATACTTTAAATGTATTCATCAATTGATTTTTTTATTGTTGATTATCTTGTTGAAATAATTCATAATTAAATTAATTTTCAAGAACTCATTTCCTTTGAGACCTAGACTATAAATTTCTTCTATTTTTTTTACTATTTTTTATTCAAATTCAGAGTTTGAGCAAATCCAAGAGATCTCATATTAAAAATGTTACATTGTTTGGAATAATTTACATATTTCTATTCTTTATGTTTGTCAAATCAACTTTAATGCATTTTCAATCCCCTTTTTTTTTTTTTTATAATCATTCCAAATTTAGTTATGTTTAATGAATCAATATAACAAATTAGCTATTATTTACATGATGATTTACTTAATATATGATAGTTTTCTAAAAATTTTCAATATCACGAAATATTCGAATTTTTTAATGATGTGAACTAAGGTTTATATACACAAATTAAATAAAAATAAATTACATATTACAAAATACAATCAAATAGAGTTTCTTTTTTAGTGATTATTGACTCTTTAAAATTTCATGCATCGCATAGGTGACTACTAGTATGTAAAGAAACAAATGTTGGTCAAAAAAATAAATACCATATTCAGGGCTCTCAGACGAAGCCTCTCTTGGAGCCATTGATTTGGCTCGTTGCTTTCTTACTCTTCAATGGATTTGATTCACGTCTTAGATTTCCTTCACAATCCTCTGATTTCGTGGTTCAGTTCTGACCAATATCTATTCTCTTTCTTAACCCTAATCCCCAATTTATTTATACAAATAATGTAGGATGGGTATTTGGGCAGGAAAATGGATGGGGGAGTTGGAATGAAAAATTTATCCTTGCAAGTATTGTGCATGCAAGGCATGTGTTTGTTTTCCGTCCAAAAAGCCAATGACATAAAGACAAAAATGAAATTGCAGGGGCAAAATTAATGAAATTGGAAGTGTATGGACTAAAATGACACAACGGGAAACTATAGTGGCACCGCTATAATTTGCCCATAATACAATTAGTCACACATTTTAACATAATTTCTCTAATCTCTATTTAGATTTAATTCGTATAACAGTTAGACTTTTTTTATCAACAATTTATTAATTTATGAATAAATAAATAAATAAACGTTGTAGACTCACAAGAAAACTCTTACAATTTGACCCACAATGATGTGGTATTATAGGTGGCCACTTTTAATTTGTTACACACTCAATGAGATATGGCCTAATTGTCTTGCCACATCATTGTAAGTGGATTTGTAGGTCTAAAAGTGTGGGTCTCTAGCATTTCTCAAGAAAATAATTTGTCATCTCTTTTTTACTAAAATATATATTTATCTTTGTTTATTTTAGTGTTTACCCACCACTTGCATTAATTTCAATCACTACAGCATAATTAAAAGGGAAGTCAATGTAATTATATCAAAAGTGTTGGGCAAATTGTATTTTTTTCAAACCTCAATGGAGGCACTCAACTCTCCTTAAATTTGAGAAAAAATATAATTAGTCCCATATTTTAAAAATAATTATATTGATTTTTTCTTTTAGTAAAGTTAAATGGACCGAAACTAATACAAATGGTGGTTAAAACACTTAAATAAATAAAGATGAATATTTAGTAGCAAATATATGATAATATCGTTTTTCATTTCATACGATTGACTAATTACTGATAAAAATGGTCTATCTATTATGGCAATTAAAACCTCAAAAGTGACTATTAAAACCTCAATGCAAGTTTTCAAATAAACTTTCAAAGTTTAATGTAATCAAATGAATTGTTATGCCAATAACACAAGATGAATATAAATACTTTATTCTAATTCATCATCCAAGGAATAACACAATTCTCTCTTCTCAAGTATCCTTAACAATTAGTCATTTCATGACTATTCCAACGTTTTGAACAATAATTTCGAAAATGAACAACAATTCTCATATTTCCTGAAATTCATCATTTATATAAATATAAATAAGAAAATTTCCAAACATCCATTTATTTTGACACTTACTTGCAACGAAGCCCTCGAGAAGTTAACCAACTTTGATGAAGAACCTATGGTAGAACTCTAATGGATCTTGAGAAATCAAGATTTTGATCCAATTTAGCGAAG